AGACAGACACACACAGACAGACACAGACACACACAGACAGACAGACAGACAGACAGACAGACAGACAGACAGACAGATAGACAGACAGACAGACAGACAAGCATACATACATACATACATATATGCACGCAGATGGATATATCTACATACACACACATAGCTATATATATATATATGCACACACGGCTGCAAGCGGCAATCCGTGCCTCATGATTATCCTGTTGACTCCTGGCCACATTATCAACATCCTGGCAAGCCCTCCCTCTCGCTCTGACTGTCTTTGTTTCTTCTTTCTTTCTTTCTTTCACAGGGCATAAGGGAGCGGCGGATGTTTTCGGGGACCTTACTCCGCTGTTGGCCGTGATATGTTTCGTGACAAGGTGTTCCCTTGCAGACGAATAGAAGCCCCCAAATAAGTGTGAACATTGGTAACTGCCCCCCCGAAGGAGCACCGTCCTAGCCATACGCATGCTCAAGGCAGACTGCGATCTACGATGCAGGCAGTTCACACCCATACGCCATACTATACGGAGTGCCAGGTAGACTGTCAGGGCCCCGAAAAGCGAAGTGAAACTGCTGCAAGTGACTGCAACTAGCTACAATACTAATACTAACTACCTTCGTGAGTATCTCCCTGTGTCTGGATAGATGAAGGTGTAGCACAACGAATAAGATGGAGCAAGATTTCGGCTTCGTCTAGCGAGAACTGGCCAAGTGACTGGCCAGCCGGGATTGACTGCCTGCAGCGGCAGTCTTGAAACATAAACATGGGCCTCTGCAATCTATATACACGCGCGAGCCATATTTCAGACAAGGCACCGTGTTGTGACGCGGGATACTTTGATGCAGATATCGATGTTGGAAGACAGCTGGGGCATGACGAGCAGCCGTGCTGTTGAGGGAAGCTGCCTGGCTTAGAGGCTTTGGGGTAGTATCAGGTGACACATCTCACGACTTCATGCTGAAACAAGTGCGTGAAGCGTCAAGCCTAGCCTTCGTCACCAGGCCACGACGAACGGAAACGAGCATCGCTTCTCCCCAGGCGTTCCACAACTCTGAGGCCTACACTGACACGGCGCGGTGCTCTGTAAACGGCCAGTTGCGGCAATCAGAAACAACAGCATTTCCGAAAAAGGGCGTGCAGAATGCATGTAACTTTTGCTTGCGAGGCGGCTTAGCAGCACAATTGCCCTAACTTTTAGCTCGCTCGCAAGTCTTTGACACGGAAGATGCGTCGCGGGCCAGTGGAGCCTGATGCCAACAACTGCGGCCCAGGCCACTATGATGGCACCTGTGCCAGAGCGAGAACACAGCATGCAATGAGATAGAAGCGAAAGCACCTTGCCATCTTTCAAAAAGCAAGGCTCACAAAATTTGCAGGTGATGCAGCTCTGCAGAAGAGGCCTATCGTGCCACTTCGTGCGCCTGCTTCACCAAATGGAAATGCCAGCAGATGCCAGCAGCATGTCATCTGGAAGCCAAGTGATATCGCGGCCACAGCAGGGCCAACAAACATATTTACAAAGTGTACAATCCGGTCAGGAGCCATTGATCAGGAAACCCTTGAATCAGATGCGATGTCAATGGAACGTGCTTCTTTCACAAGCATAGCTTGAGGTGACATCTCAGCATGCATAATTAATCAGGTTCAAAGGGCTGACTGAACAAGTTCCTCCCAAACACATGCAAGAAAGGCCTGCTGAGTGTTCAAAGCGTTCAATTCAAAGGAAAATAGACCCATCAGCAGGTGTTCAAGCTTGCACCAGGGAGAGCCGCATTCCCGAGGTCAAACCGACGATTTAAATTCCAGATGTGTATGAGTCGATGAGTCATCAATGCCTTGCAGTTCTCTCCTTTGCATGCGTGCAAACTTGCTGGACTTGGCGCAGACAAGGCTGGGCAAAATGAAATGCCAGCATGATAAGTCACCTGTGCCATGCCTGTGGCGTCGCAGAACTACTCAGAACCTCAAGACAGGTGTAGAACCCAAGTCTGTCAATCCGCTGAACAGAAACTGGCAGGGCCTGGAGGAGCGCTGAAGCATGGGAGCCGACCCGCCTGCCGACCCACACTGGGCAAGAAGTTCCTATGGGAAAAATGGCACCCTGGCAATCACAACTGGGGACAACTGAGCTCTCAGGCCCCGCCTGTGTCACAGGGATGTAGAACAAAGTCCCATTTGTCACATTTGTCATCGGGCCGTGCCTTCAGGCATCATTTCCCCGGGAAAATTGGCCGAAGACTTGAAAGACAACTTCTTGCGAGGATGGTCGCCTCGCGCTCGCCGTCGCATCCCACAAGGTGCTCGCGGCATTCCTACTTGAAAAAGCATCTTTCTCGTACGCTTCAACTTCATCAACAGGGGTACCCTGGTACCCTTCAGTTGTCCCTGACCAAGCCCTGTCCTGTCTGGCATGGATGCGAGCGATGCCGACTGCCCGCCGGCTTGCAGCCCCATGAGGCGCCTGCGCAAAAAAATCTCTTCGTCTGCATTTCCGCGGCTTGGCTCAACTTGGCTCTCAGAACCTCTGAGAGCCACGGGCGGCTCGGGAGGCCACTGCCAGGCCACGCATTGCTCGGTGCACGCACGAGGCCGAAGCCTTCGGCACGCGCTGTCCCAAGCGACTTCTCTCGAGCCCAGCGGCAGAAGACAAACGGTAGTACTGCAGCATCACAACCTGTGACAAGATGTCATGTGCGCACATCAGTGGGACTGTGTGTTCGTCTACTTTCTTGTCAATGCTACCATTCTCACTCTTATCACATCTGCAGGAACTACAGTACGATGTCTTGGGCGCTGGCCCGCTGCTGTCATTCTGAACAGCGTTCATCACCTTTGTGACTTGCAGGAGAGGCTCTCGTTCGATTTCGCGACACACGAACTTTCACACCCGGCACAGCTCCCGCCTGGTTTAGCAGCTACTGTGAAACGGGAAGATGCACTGCAAGACTTGAAGCAAGAGGCAGATTGTGAGCACTTTCAGTTTCGCACGGGAATGCAGCCGAAGAATAAGAGAAAGCTCGCAAAGGCCGATTTCTGGTGATTGCAGCATGCTACATGCCCCCACAGGCCCTCGACCATTAGACGTGTGCAAGTCGAGAGCAGTGCTGCTATTTTCGTAGCCGGCTTCACAAGCCACGGAGCGGTGTTCCTAGCACGACGGTGAAACAGTGAAACCTCGTCATAGGGCCTCCTGGTTTTCGGCGACCCGTTGACTGACAAACCTCTGCCACATGCTTGGTGCATCCGACTGCCACCCTCGTCAAAGCACCCTCCAAGCCGTAGCCAAGCGGCACTCCTGCCGTCACGCGCGTGATGGCGAGAGAACTCGTCCTGGCCGCATGGTACGCATGGGCAGGCGCAGACACTCCGAACTCCGACGTGAGCCTGCCTATGGCTGGATTCACAGCTGGTAGCTGCAGAAGTCTTGCAGGATTTATCCGTGGAGTCTCCGTGACCGTCGGGCCCGGAAGGACGCGGCGGACCCGTTCCACCTGAATCTCGAAAAGCACATGAGGCAGGGCCTTAAGCGATGCTCTCACAGGCCTTGAACTTGGGAGGCGCCATGGGCCTCTGAGGTAGAGCCAACCTGAGCTGCCGAATCCCATGAGAGCTCTCGTGCACTGCACCCTGAACACGAAGAGTAACTCGAAGTTGCTGATCTTGTAATCCCGCCAAGAGGTGTCCATGCCCATCTCCTCGGGTTCAGATTTTGTGCACCACAACTTTGCCAGCTGCGACCACATCCTGAGCTTGAGACATCAACTCTGTACGGGGCTTCATCCAGAATGTATGGCTCGTAGTCCTTTCAAGCTGGAACCAGTCTGCAGACGTTCATTTTGACGAGCGAAGGAGACTGTCTCGTCCGTCTGCGGAGATCAAGTCACGCTTCAGTCTTCAAGCTGCCGGTCCTGAAACATCTCTGCAATCTCCTCAGTGGCGGCAGTTGGTGCGGTTGGAATTATGAATAGCAAGAACAAGCTTTCATGCATCGCACATCTCACACTGCGTCTCCTCTGATGGCTCCTCTCCGATTCGGTGCGTCGGCTTGGTGCGCGCCTTGATATGCCTCTGCCTCTCCTCCTCCATCTCTTGGAGCGCCTTCGCACGGATACTTCTGTACAAGCGACACAGTGCCGAACTCTTCGTGCAGGTCCGGCCTCCTTCAGCCTGCGATTTAAAATTGCCAGGATCTGAAGTTGGTCCGACGTCTTGTCTTTGTACCTCGTCAACCACACCGTCGAACATGTTGGGTCGTCTGGGTGTGGGATGCTCTAGGGGGTTCACAAGAGTTTGAGATCCTGACCTCGATCGACCGAGCCATTGCAACCAAGCCGCTGCTCAAACTGCTGGGCGTATGCATGCATGTGCTCAACGAAACGTTCCCTCGGCTGACTGCAACCGTAGTCCTACGAAATGCATGCATACACAGAGAAACATGAAAATAGATATGAACACACACACACACATATATATATATATATAATACTGTATGCGTGTATGTCTACATACTTTGCACCTAGCCACCTACCTACTAGGCCTACCTGCCCTACATACGTACATACATACATACCTACAAGCACGCACACATCCGTACATGCATACATCATCCAGCCAGGCAGCCACGCATGCATGCAGACATACAATGCACATGTATCCTCTGTTTTGTCAAGCTTATGTACTCACTTATTCCCTCATTTGTTCCCCATTTGCCCACACATGTAGCTCTATAGCTACGACTATATGATGTTCATGCATGTGAGCCTCAATGTAAGCACGCATGCGTCTATTCATTGTGTTGCTCTGCTTGTCTTCGCCTGTCCTACCCATTCCACCTGTGCGCCCATCCATCTATCCGTCTATCGATCTACCTATCTATCAATCCATATATCATATATCGATTTCACGCTGGAGCACCGCCATGCAGATGCCCTCCCTCTCGCATGCAAGTGCACACCTGTGTGGTTCGATCCGCCCGGGCCGTTCGCAAGTACTTTCACCTGCGTTTGTCTGTCTGTTTGTCTGCCTGCCTGCCTGCTTGTCTGTCTGTCCCCGTCTCCGTTTCCGTGGTTCGCTTCGCCTTGCTTTACTGAGGGCTAGAGCTAGGGCCAGGAGCAGGCCCTATAACCCCGGTGTCTCTGCTCCTCTGTCCCTGTCTCTTTCGTCTGTGTCTGTCCGTCACTGTCTGTGTGTGCCCTGTCTGTCTGGCTATCTGGCTGTTTGACTCGTGGCGGCTGGTGGTTCCGTAGTGATTGCTCGGCCGGAGCGGCCGAGGTCCATCCCTAGCTTCAGGTTACACACCCACATCAGTTTGACGACGGGACTCCCCGTGTATCGCAATCTGAACAGATGCCGGCAGTAAAATTCCTTGCTGATGCTGCAGCAAACCGTGCGATGCATGAATCAGAACGTTGTTCTTTCAACCCCTTGTGGAGCCGATGTGCTCAGCGTAAGCTCGGGAAAACACCGAACGTGCCTCAACGCGTATCGACATGTCCATCTTAGATTTATCCATGCATGCTTCGATGAAGCATTGCGACAATGTCCGTGGTCTTATGAGTTTGCCCGGCTACTGGTAGGAGCTGGCAGTGGGCTCGCAGCCCCCAGAGATAAACATCCATGACCGAGCTTCTTGTGAAATTCATCTTTGCCACGGGATCGTGGTCTCCTATGAATGCCAACATGCTCTAGCAGGGCAAAAGACCCGCACATGCCATGAGGGATACATGCACACTCGGATTTGCCACTGGAAATTCACGTTTACGGAAGACCCGAGGACTTGGCAGGCTACCTTCATGATTGGAAAAACAGTCGTGAGTCGTAAGTTGATTACTCTCACGGTACTTCGCTGTGAACTGCGAAAGTTTGATTGTGTCCCGGGTTGTCTTGCCGGTCGCCCAACCAAAGACACGTCTTGCTGCTTGCGTTTTGTGTGTTCCGCTTGTCTTGGCCACACACACCTGTTGGCCTATGCTCCGGAGTGTCTCTCACTACCTGCGGCGTTTTCAAGCTGTCCATGGGCATGTGCGGCTGCCGGCCAAGGATCTGCTGCTGCTGCATTTCTCTGTGTAGTCCTTGCCACCGGCTTTCGGCCTCGCGCTTCTCCTGGCGACTCCCGGGCTGAGCTCTCCTTTAAGGGCTGGCGGGCGGTACTTGGCCTCCTGAGCCGCCAGTTCCTGGCGCTTCAGTTCAGCTTCCAGGCTGGAGGTTTCCCGGCCCAGCTGCTTCACGAGCTCGTCTCGGCCTGGTGTCGCACAAAGGAAACGGCAGAACTGCTCCGAGACAACAGGGCGAGGGCAGGAGAGCTGATGCTTCAGCTGGGCGACTTCACCTGCCGGCACAAACACTACACCGGTACACGTCACGTAAAGAGTTGAACGCTGATTAACCTGAAATGTCTTGAAACCAGCTCGCAGGACTGTTCCACAACACATGGTGCACGCGGCAAGGGCAAAAGACAGCTGTCACTGCGCTCAACTGGGAGCATTCAGACTGGGAGCACTCAGACTGAAGCGAAACACTGCTCAGCGAATGTCCCTCTACCAATGCTTACAACATCCAGCATAGCTCCATTCCATGTACGACGCCCACCATAGCTGTTGCAAACCTCTCGAAAGCTCCAATTGCTGCTGCAGCGAGTGCGCTTGCTCCTCGAGGTGCTCCTGTTTTTACGAAACGTGTCTACACTGATCAGCATGCAAACATTCTGACCGTCCTTGTGCTTGGCAGCGGTCAGGTAGGATTCTTGTGAAGCCACGACACCTCACATCTGAGGTGTGAAGGAACAGATTTGGGTGATCTTGAGCTAGGATGAGCCGCCTTTCAGCTGCGTGATCTCGGCCTTCTGCGCCTGCACCAGGCCCTGCGCAGGTCAAGCGTCTCGGCAAATCTTCGCCTTCGACGTACAGTCCTCCGTGTCCAACACATTCTCCCGCAGCTCTCCCAACATCTTTCCGTATTTGTCCTCTCGCCAGGCAGCTCGTCGGGTCTGTGTCACTTCGTGTTGCAGCCACCTCCATTTTCTCTGTCATCTCATCTCGGATCTTCCGTACCTGTGACATCGAAAAACGGGACGGTCAAGGAACCGTCACTTGCATCACCCGCGCTGGCCTCAGTTTCCACGACCACTGCGTGATTCCGGAACTCTTGAAGAAAAGCTGCTCGTGCCCTTTGCAGATGTGCCTGCTTTGTGGCACACAGCGGAAGCATGCCATTATGAAGCTGCAAAGCTATGCACAGACAACTGCAACTGCACCCCAGTCAATATTGCACCTGTGACGTGGAGCCAAAGTGCGTTTGTGTCAGTCTTTCTACCGGATGCAGTACGCACGAAAACCATTGCCTGGAACTTCTGCTCAATGTACTGAAGAGTGCCTCTCTCCCGAAAGTTCTTCATCTCCTTGCATCCAGAAAACCGCACCATCTGAGTCACAGAAACCTATCGAACAGAATCGAAGTCAAAGCGGTGGCAGTGAGCGTCTGCACTGCCGGACCTTGGGATCCAGTTGAACCTCCTGTGTGGAAAAAGTCTTGAAGATTTTGTCCAAACTGGCGCATAACCTGAGGCAGCAACACTTTTCACAAGGGACTCGGCTGCTGCCCCTACTGCCCAGCTTGACCCACAAGACAGTACTCATGAGGCAGCAACATGAAAACCGAAATCACAATTGAAATTGGACCCCCACCGTGGCAGTGCTGGCAAGTTAAACATCGAATCATCATCTGCATACGCCTGTGCACGCAGGTACAGGCCCGGTTCGGCCCTCTTCGAAAGACACATCTACTACGACTTACTACGACCACAGCGAATTGGGAACCCTGTCGGCCTAGGATGCAATATGAGTGCAAGGGCCAGGGTACTGGTACTATGTGGTACTGCAGGCCGAGCAGCTTCGCGACATCTGCTGCCATGTGGTACTCACTGGCCCTGGTGAAACCAAAGCTTGAGCCTCAGCCATCCTTTGAGCAGAGTTCTCTCAGGTAAAGCTGCCATCCATGCAGCTGAGGATTAGGAGTTCCGTGCAGCCGTGAGCCTGCGATGCGAATGTTGACATGGATCTAGCGGTCGGTCTGTCAAGGATGCTGCACAGCCATGGCAAGCTTCGCTTGAAATGGAAGGCCTCTGAAAGCACGAAACCACAAACATCCAAACCATGTCAGGAGCAATGTGGGCCGGAGGCGATGTGTCACATCGCCGTCAGGTACGTACAATTTGACACGACCAGCTCTGCACTGCGGAACCATTGCTCCCTCATGGATTTGTAGCTATGTAAGTGGCAGAAAACTGCCCACGTGAAAGTGTTGCTACACAAGCGCCAAGGAAGGAAGTACGCAGACATACGCAGACCCTCAGACTATCACATCCTCTCAGACGCAAGTCCGGCGGTCACGGGCAACATTACGTGTCGTAGTGCATGACGGTCAAAACCATGGTGTCATCTGCACTTCGGAGCTTCTCCAACAGAATATCGGTAGCTCCAGAGTGCCCATTTACAGTCACGATGCCTCAGGCTTGTGCATGGCGCGAAGGGCGCTTGTGCCTTCCCTTGCCGCCTTCTGGCCGCCTTTGAGTGCTGCCAGGACACGGTCATTGGCTAGAATCGCCATGTCGGGCCTGTTCCTGTTCCAATCAGCCACGAGACCGCTGCCCACGGACGCCTTAGTAGCAAAGGCAGGCTGCGGCAGGCTGCGGCAAGCTCCAGGAAAGCCCAAGAGTCTTTTTTCTCAGCAAGAAAACATCTTGGCTGTCCTCCTGCTCGCGATTTGGCGACTTCTCCCTTTCTCGCTCCAGCCGACGCTATAACCGATAAGACTTCCCTGCCCCGCACAGCGCGGGGAGGTTTGGTTGTTCCGGCCTTTACCGCAAGTTGCCCAACGTTCTGAGACTTGGTTCAATTAAAGCTGAGACTCAAGAAGTGGCACGCCAATTCTCCGGCTTGCCACTTCACATGAACAGGAAAGGACAAGTTCTCAATGCGTGACCAGACATGGTCCTAGCACTGTTCTGGAGCCCGCTTCACCCTTGCGGGTGCGGCTTTGCAGTTGCAACGCGGTCCGGCTGCCAACGCGTTCTCCAGCAACTGGTTTCCCACACCAGCATTCATCCCGAAGTTCATTTCAGGGATTGCGAGAAGTCGCGCTGTGCCATCGTGTTGTGTTGGGGAAGAGGGGAAGACACGAGGGCATAAAGGGCACGAGAATGCCTGCTCACATGGACGAATGCCAAGAACTTGAATGCCGCTGCACAACTTGCTGCTGTACAACAGCAAAGCAGACTTTGGCGAGAACCATGAAACTAAACACGTTTTCGTTCAATGCATCCGGGCCAGGGGGCTACTGAAAATTTGTGGAACAACATCTTGTGACTCCGTGAGTTCAACATTTTCATCCAGAGGCTTAGGGTCGGAGTTCCATCGATAGTCAAATCAAATGGCGCCCCGACTTGGCTAAACACTGCAACCTACTTTCACGGACGAGGATCAATCCACGGCTTTGCCGACGTCTTGCGGTAGTTCACGTCAATACCCAGGCGGCCTGAGCAGACTAAATTCCCGCCATGCCAAATTGCCAGCGTATAGCTACTGCACCCGCTGGCAAAAAAACGTCCGACCTGGCTTCTGTAGCACGACTGTTCTTTCTTCAGGGCGCTTCAGTGTCAATTGTGTGTCCTGCAGAATTCCGGCAAGAGTACTGCTACGCAAACGGGACACACTCGGCATCAAAGCGGCCAGTCCGACTTGGCCCGTCCTGGACGTCTTTGTCCTCCAGCTTGCTGGAAATGTCCTCTCCCGTGCAAGGCTCGCCATTCACCTCCAAGATTTGATCCTCGGCCCATGCTTTGGAATTGCTGCCACTACATGAAGGTGCCGTCTGCAGCTCTCTAAAGCACGGGGAGAGAAATTGAAAGACAGCAGAGAGAGACGAAAGGAACACGGATGAGCGAACAGGAATGGGAAGGGCCGGGAGCAGGCAACAGGCATCGGAGAGCGAAGAATGAGGAACGAGACGAGCAGGTAGCAGACCCAACGGCAGGAGAAGAAATGGGACTAGTCTGTAACAGAGAACAGAAACGACCAAAGAACGGAGCAAATACAGGCATGGTAGGAAGCCAACGAAGGACAGAAAACAGAAACGAGAAAGGAATCGAAAGGAAAGAAAGAGCAATGCAGCAAGGATGGTAATCTGGGGACGTGGAAATTTCCAAACTGTATCCCAGCGGATTGTTTTCTCTGTGCTGCTGGGAAACGAAAGGCTTGATCTGCTGCTTTGGGTTGGACTCGTTCCAGGTCGCTGCAGCACCGCCGGTGACATCCTGCAAACATCGCGACTCACCGCATGTCGAGGACTCAACAAACTAGGATGCAGCACCGCACCACATGGAATGGCCATGCCGTGCAGAAACCCAACTTGCAGCTCAGTGTCCCTGACAATCACACAGGCCGAATTTGATCTGTCCACGGACAAGCCAAATGAGCCCATTCCGCCCTTCAGCAATGCGACGAAACGACTGGATTCATCCTTCAGCACGTTGTGACTGAAGACATGCCTGCCGCTTGCTTGCTCTGCGAAGCATGCAAAACGTCCTGCACTTCGTCCACGAGCGTGCCATAGGACTTCGATGTCGTCTTCAGCTCCGGAGCCAATTCAAGCTGGCTCTCCTCACAAGGCCGGCTTTGGTCACCACATCTTGCCATGGACACCAGAGACTCCCCGACTCAAGCTGGGAGTCCTTGTCATCGGAAGTGCAACAATGACAGAACATACTCTGCAAAGTGCCGCGGTCTGCCAGCTCCGGAAGAACTGCAGACACTTCAGATACCAAATGGGAGCCAAATGCCGTCAACACACCATTTCACAAGACATCAGAACACAGTGCTCCGCTGCCTGCTAGAAATCCTGAAAACAACACTTATTCTGCCGCATCGGAGATGGCAGCACTTGAGGAATGAGGACATGGCAACCAGCCGCTGTGCTGTCCATCCAAACCCAATGAGAAACCGAACATCTAGCAATTGAGCGAGCCCCACACACGCACACACAAACCGTCAATCCCACACACACACTCCCATGTGCTAGGGAGGTTCACACACACACACACACACAAGCCAAAACTGAGTCGGGTTTTCCGGGACCCACCATTGGCGGAAGAAAGCGATCGCCGATCAACTCCCGGTGAAACTTGAAGTGAAACATGACAAATCTCAAAAACTATGACTGGACGTCCGCGTAATGCAGGAATGTTATTATGAGAGTGTCTTCGGACCGGCGCAGTTTGTCCACGATCTCGAGCGGACCGCCTTGCCATGCCAAGGTTCCAAAGATGTTTTCACGCAGGACTTGATCATATGCACTCTCTGGACTATATATCTTAGCTCACCACAGCAGAAACGCCCAATGCCTGAGACACCACTGACGGACAGAATCCTGTCATGCGCGTGCACGTTGAGGCGGGGCTTCTCCAGGTTCCATTGCCCCATTGCGCCACCTCGAACAACCGTGATCCAAGGCCTGGCAGACAGCGCAGCAAGCAGTCGCACGAGAATCACGTCCAGGCCCGTTACTAAGCAGAACAGCAACATGAAACAGCGGCCTTGCCTGACAGACACACCCTTGCGAAAGCTGATGTCAATGCCGAGGCGATCGCTTTTCGGAAGGATAACTTGCCGTTGTTCAGGCCGTTGAAGGGTGAAGGCCAGCTGATCACAGCCAGTTTCTTCCATTTTGTGCCGCAACATGGTGCCTTGCCGAGAGTTCCAAGGTCAACATATGACGCAGTACAACAAATCATGTGGCACAAGCTGTCTGAAGTATGGCATGGAATCGCATGGACAGAAGGAATGATTTGAGCCAAGGCTCTAGAACAGGGTTCCTTATCCCGCCCGTGCAATTTGTAGTTACTGAAAAACCCCTGCCCATGGGCACATGGCAGTGTAACATGTGTGCTGGCAAGAATCTCCATTGACGTCTAACAAACGGTCATAAATTTGAGCTTGCACATTGTCCACATCAGCATTCCATTCACGCAAAGCACCACTGATTTCCTGCAAAGTTCAGCATCGTTTACCAACAGCTCCCTGCACAGACACAGACTGTTAGACGAAATGCGCCTGGATGATGATGCAAGAAGGGTCCGACATGTCCAGCGCGGGAATCACCGTGGACACATCATTGGGCAAGGTGATTGTGTAAGTTGCATCTGGCAGCGAGCAATGTTGACGAAACCGCAGTGGAGACACAAGCTTGCAAGAACCTGCCTTGCCAATATCTTGGATCGTCAGCATCATGCAGGACCGTCAAATGTTGGGCCTTGCAAGTCCAGCCGTTAATCTGCACAAATATGCAACACGACCACAACTGCGCAACTGTTGGGGTAATGTGAGCGGCCTTATGGATGGAATCCAACTCTTCGCCCGTGGAAGGCGATGCACAGCATTCACAAAACATGCTTCTTTGGCAATTCAAAAAGCCATGCTTGATTGAAAACACGACGGCATGACACGGTTCTTCGCGTGAACGATTCTCTGCGGCCCACAACTTTGCGGTTTGCAACCTGTGGTGCTTCCGTTGTGAACGAATGAACTTCATTGCTATGGATGGCGATTCGAAGCGAGCGAGTGCAAGAGCAGGTTCGGTATCTGTGACGGTAACATCACAAAGTCCGCGTTCGTCTTGCAAGTAGTAGTAGTAGTATCAGTAGTAGTAGTAGTAGTAGTAGTAGTAGTGGTAGTCGTAGTAGTAGTAGTAGTAGTACTAGTAGTAGTAGTAGTCGTGCTAGTAGTAGTAGTAGTAGTAGTAGTAGTAGTAATAGTAGTAGTGGTAGCAGTAATAGTAGTAGTAGTGGTAGTAGTAGTAGCAGCAGTAGTAGTAGTAGTAGTAGTAGTAGCAGTAGTAATAGTAGTCGTAGTAGTAGTAGTAGTAGTAGTAGTAGTAGTAATATCAGTA